GTACTCATATAGGAAATTAATCCATCCGAAAATGTTGAAAGCCAAGAGAAGGTGGCTTATTTGAAGAGCTAGTAAAATTTTAGATGGGCCAAGTTGTGTTGATAGTTGTCTTAACTCTCCACTTTGCTCTTTGAGTGAAATACCCATATCCTCTTCTGATGTTCTTTCCTGGTAGCCAAAGAGGTCTGATTGGCATTCTCTCCCTGTCACTAACTAATGGTGTCACTTTGAATAATAAATTTACCTTTCCTTGGTTCCAGGCTACCAAATTTGCGAGCTAAAGTATGGAAAAGAGAAGCTCTTAGAAAGGAGAGGGACATCTCAGAATAATGGTGGAGCTACCGCTTACTCAAATAGTTAAATGAATTCAGAGGAAGCTTTAAGCTCCAAAAGTCTACGTTGTGAACATTTCAAAATATGATTATATCATAAATATTTGGTATAAGGATCAAAATAAACTTTACTTACTATTGTTTAGGAAAACTACGATACTGGTGTTTTCGTATGAAATATTTATAAGTTCAGAGTTGGAACAAAGAGAAGTTTTCTATAAAATACTTTTTTTCTCTAAATGTTATATCCAGTGCATTTTCTCTGAAAAGACCAGTATAAACTCAAACATAGCTTCATATCTTGCTTTAACAGATGAAGGGAAATTGGGGATTTCAGAAAGAAGCAGATCCATATTCTGTGTTGACTTGACTGCATTGCCGTTTCTTCATTTCTGTACTTTACTACCTATTACCCATGTAGGCTGAGTTACTTCATGCTGATGAGTTACAATTTCCTGATCTCTAAAAGGAGGATCATTGTATTTATTATAGCTGGTTGTTGAGAAGTTTAAGTGAAACAATGTATGAAAAATGCCTATTGCCTGGCACATAGTAGATGCCCAATGTACTACAGTCATTGTGCAGACTAGGGTGAGCAAGAAGAAGAATGCCGTATTATTAAATCTGCCCAGTGTCTTTCAGTCTAGTGAGTGTAGACACAGGGGAGAGATAATAATACCGATGGAGGAGCCCATGGGTGGTGCAAACGGTTAACTTACTCAGCTGCTAACCAAAAGTTTGGAGGTTTGAGTTTACCCAGAAGTGCCTCAAAAGAAAGGCCTGGCAATCTACTTCTGAAAAATCAGCCATTGAAAACCCTATGGAACACAGTTCTACTCTCACATACATGGGGTCGCCATGAGTCAGGGGTGACTCGACGGCAGCTGTAAAAAGAAGCTAAGCCCTTCCATTTGGCAGACTGATGATAAGGAGCAAGAAGGAGGGTGAACAGTTGACTATTGCTGCTAACTTTCCTGGCTCGAAGTTGTGCTCAATTTAATTAGGGTGATGACAGTTATATAGGGTACTAACCTATCGGTGGCAATAATTTCCTCTGATGACATACAGGGGATATCCCGAAGATGATAGAACTACATATCGTCTTTGGCCTGGTTGCTGAGGATGCCAAGGTCTCAAGTACTATTTCTGTTTGTTTGATTTTTTTCTCTTGTTTTGTTTTGTTTTAAAGCAGTAGATGGTAATTTGTTATTCTATGAAATAATAATTATAGTGAAGATAATATACTTGATGCGTTTTTTGTTTCTCTTTGGTCAAATGCTCATTTGTCACAGATTCTCTCTTGAGAAAGGCTTGCTTGTCCTTATCTTAGAGGAGATACTGACACTAGCTATTGCATGAAGTAGGAGAAGAAAATGAGAAAACTTCTGCAGTATATAGACTTCTAAGAAGACTTCTTAGACTTTTCCATTTGCAAATGGAGAAAATATCACCCTTACTAATATCTTGTCTTCTTACAAAGACATGGGGAATTACACATGAAAGAGCACTATAAAGATCTTTTAAGTATAAAAACAAATGAAAGGCATCATCATTACACAGAAGTAGAAGGGTGTTGTGAAATGGCATCTGAGTCAGAGAGAAGAAATCTCCAGGTTCTATTTGGCTACTCTTCATCTAGCTAGGCTTGCTACTTTTACATCATTTGCTTCACCTAATTGAGATAAAAGCATCTCCTTTTCTTCTTCACAGGGTATGTTACGTTAGGGGCAAGAGTTTAAAAATGGTCAAGGCATTGTTACATTGAGAGTAATGAAGAAAATTGCTAAAATTTTACCCTTTGTCTGTAATGAGCTTATAGTTTAATCAGATAGATAAGACATGAATACAATTAACTTCAAGTTTACATGTGTCCTAGGAGAAGTAAAACAAGATATTACTGAAGTTCAGAAAAGAGAGAGATTACAATTAACTGGTGAGAATGAACACGACGGACAGCAGTTTACTTAAGGGCGAAAGTTGTTTAAATTCATGATCTTGTTAGGGGTAAATTAGGTTGTACTCCTTGGCCTGGGCATAGAGTAAAAGAAAGCAAATAAAAAATAAAGAAGCAATCTTATTCCAACACAATGTCTGGCCAACTAATATGAAAAATATAATAATACATGAACAGTTATTGTGACCATTTTAGATAACATAGAAGAAATAAGTACCTTATTTGGGATCTCAAAAGCAAGAGGCAGCAGAGGAAATGAGACCTTTTGGGGCTCCTGGCTGCAATTCTGACTCTCGTTTCACACAAGTAAAATGTTTCTACACGTAAAACTGAGACTAGAGCATGATGAGTGGCCGAAGTTCCCCTTTTACAGAAAAGAAAATTTCTATAGAATAGACCATGAAGTATAGCACATTTGAGAAACAATAATAGTGCAGCTGGAACTATTTTAAACCTGGAAATATTGTACCATTATATGGGTTTCCAAGGCTATAAATCTCTAGGGAAGCAGGCTGCCACATCTCTCTCCCTCAGAGCCACTGGTGGCTTCGAACCAGCGACCTTTCGGTTAATAGTCGATCGCTTTAACCACTGCACCACCAGGGCTCCTTTTATAAATAATACACATGGAGTAACGTAAACCTGAATGAAAATGGCTAAAATAATCATTTGTTAAAATAACACAGGACAGATTACAATATATATAGATGCTCAGATTTCACTGTCTGAAGGACTTTGCGGCTACGTCCTCACCTTAATCACATATTCAATACACATCATTCAATATCATTCGATACATATCATTCAATAAAGAAACAAATCACACAAAAAGGGGAAAAATCAGTAATTTGATGAAAAACAGATTTATTTTATAATTTATTGTGTAAGAAAAAACACCTTTTTATCTATGATTGGCTGACAGAAACAAGCTTTATTTCATTAAAAAAAATGCTAGGAAATGCATGTATCTAGAATGGATAACTGATTACAACCTGAAAGTACAATATTTCAATGGTACATTTCATACCTGATGACATTTCACAATTTTAGTACCCTTAATATTACTCTAATTTTCTACATGTACTTTACAGTACATAACTGGGTTTCTTTCCAATCCTAAGACTGACATGAAGTTTGCTTTAACTTGCATATGCTGGACATAGTATGTTGGGAAATGTTGGGTCACACATGAAATATCTTACAGGGGTGATGAGGCCAGGAATTTCCCGTGAAGGGTTGACTCGTTGAGAAAGGGGCAGAATATTACATGGTGTAGTTTCAGCAATTCTGGGCCAATTGCCATATCCATGCGGAAATGGAAACCACTATTTCACAAAATCTTTTTCAAAGAACTAATTATTTTATGTAGTTTTATTCCTTTTAGCATTTTTAAGACTTTTATTCAAATTCAGACATATTTTGTGTCAAATCAAGCACCATTGGCTATTTAGGGAGCTGTATAATCACTTACTTTACCTTTCTTTTTTCGTATGAAGAATACCTTGTTGAAGTATCTCTCTTCAAGGATTACAAGAACACATTTTAATTTGGGGACGCTCTAATGGTAATGGTCCCACATAGATTGCTCTATTTTCCTTGCATGATATCTGTACTTAGAGTTACACAAGCACTGGGCTATCATTTTTGCATTTTTGAATCTTGTCACCCAGTTTGAATGAAGGAACGCCTTCCAGAGACCCACCACCAACCTTCCAGGTCTTCAGTCACGAGGTTACTGTCAGGAGATAGTGTGTTCAATCTATAGCTCATATAACAAAGGCAAATTAATACTAATGAGACTAAAGTAACCTGGCAGAAAAACAGTAAACGTCAGTCTCCTAAATGGCCATTTTAGAACCCCCAGACATTTATTCTGTGATGACTTTTTGAGAGCATGTGTTTTTGCCTCAATTTTTATCATTGCCACGATAGGCCTGCTGAATTCAACATGGATTTAGCTGAAATGTTTAAAACATTGAATTCCCCCACATTTACCCTCTTCAAATCCTTCTAGTCTTTCTTCAATTTCAATAAAAAAAGAAAGAAATGTTTTGAGTCTTACCACATGTCCATCTTTTTTACTCATAAATGTAGTTACAGTGTCATTTATTGCTGTGAGCTTATTGGACAAAACATATGAAGAAAAACTGCAGTTTAATTCTCTCCCTCACTTAGTCCTGGAGCGCTTTCAAAATTTCTAATTCTTGATAGGACTAACTTTTCCTCAGATGTCAAAGATGTAAAATTGAGAAATGTCCAACTCTGAAAGTAAACGCCCAAATGCACCCACCCTAGAACACATCCCCGGTCATTGTAAAGCCTGCTGCGCTCAGTTTTTATCTCCTGCGATTTTATGCTTACGCATTCCTAAAACAGGGGATGTGATGTTAGGCAGTAATGTAGGAAAAATCAAATGGCGATAGGGAATGGTGCTGAAGGAATCACTTGAGGCAAAAGTATTTGAATCTGTTCCTCTCGATGTTTCCAGCCATGGGATGGCATTGTGTGAAAACAGACAAAACAAACAAGACCAACTTCCTGGGACTGAAATACTTTGTATGTGTTGTTATTTGCAGTGCATGCCAAGACATTCATGAGCACCAGAGCCAAGCTGGCGAGCTAATTAAATATATATATGTATGTGTTTAAAACAGCCTAATAAGGAGCATTGGAAATCTTCAAGATGAGCGAATATCTTATAACTTCTTCCGCAGGTGCGAGGATAGCTACAAGCCATGGACTTTCTGTCCTGCTTCTTGTTTGTGGCTTTGTGAAGGGTGCTTTGCTTTAATCTAAAGTGCTGACTTTTTTCCAATATCACTTTCTCTTCTTAAAGCAAAGAGCAAATCGCCTGTAAAATCTACGGAGCGGACAGCAAAGTTGACCCTAAACTCCAAGCACCACTCTGCACCCACTGTACTCTAATTACCTACACAAGGAGCACCTGCTTCCGGAAGCATAAACGAAGAGGCTATCACACGTTTTGTTGATAATATTTTCTTTGGCAAATCACTGATCTTTTTATTTCAAGAGAATTAATGTGAAGCGATAGGACATTTTCTAACAGCAAGATCTTTTTTCCCCCCTTTTCCTTCGGCGATTTACGGCATCATCTCATTGACTGCTCAGGGATTGGCCTGAACGTCATCTGTCTAGTAAATACTTACTGTGGAACCCACTGATTTCCTACTCGCTCAGAGACCCTTTCTCTCCAGCAAGCAAACAGAGATCGAAAGGATACAGAACACAAACTATGAATTAAACAAAACCCCCGTGTTGGGGCAAGAACAAAATTATCAATACTGCAAGTCAACCAAGAGAACATTATTTTAAGTAAGGAATAAGAAAAGATTTTTTTTTTTAATTGTCCTTTCTTTCCTGAATTTTTCTTCTGTTTTTTGGCATGTCTCTTGTTCAATGGTGGCAACTGCTGATTACGGCCAATCCCTGTTAATCCTGGGAGGTTCATAGAAATAATTTCGAGTGATCTGTATTTCAGTGTATTTTAATTCATTTCACAATTCCTGTATATGCAAACCTGACAAATTCTGTAAATTGCTTACAGTACGTGTGATATAACTTCAAAGTAGATATATTATGACCCTCATGCAAGCTGATTTTTATCATTATATATATATATACATATATATACATATAAATATCTGTATGTCAAGCCATCAACCAACTTTTTTGATAAAGCATTTGTTTTTCATTTATAATTCATATATTGTGTGAATTTCGTAATGCGTTGTTTCACTTCCACAGGTTTGACAGCTGCAGATGGTCTCTGTTGCCCTCTGCTTCCTTCTGGAAAATGCACATTGAACATTGTATGGCCTCTTATGAATGAATTAATTTTATTATGTGTATGCAGTGTTGGAATTTGCTATGTTCCTTTCATATATGGTGTTTATTAAATTTTCAGGGTCTTCTGACTCTGAAGAATGCCCACTCTGGTTTTGACACCTATTTCTGAACTATTATTATTACTGTCAAAAAAGGAATGTTATTTCTAGGAATTCTGCCTTGAAGGGGAATGTGGAGGAGGTGATGAGGTCACTATTATTCCCTAAATTTATGGAAAAACACTTCTTGTTATGGCTAAAAATGCTGCTTCCTTTGACTTTTATGAATTTTTGTAACTTTGTCATTCTGTTATTTGCTGCTAATTACATTTTAATGTCTCCTAATTAAAAATTAAAATTTGGTTGCTGGCTGAATATAATATGCAAAGGATGACTGCAAATCACTAAAGAAGATAATGTGTTCACTTGTCACTAGTTAAGTGAATTATAATTTTAAATATTCCATTCTTATTTTTGGCTTTATGATAATTCAGACTATTTTTATTTAGAATCTGGTTTCTACTCTTCAAAAAAAAAAAAAAGATCAGCAGAACTATTAATGTGTTCCATATACACCATGGAATAGTTACAGGTTGAGATAGAAATGACCGAAGTTTTCCTTCCAGAGAGATTCTTCCATTTTTTTTCATTACAAAACTAGAAAATCATCTGTGTGTGACCATCAGCTCCCAGCCTAAGGTTCAGAACAGAAGCTTGAAGGCAATGAATACCTCTGCTTTTCAAAGGTAAATGCATTTGATTTTCTGCAGCTCAACTAAGAGAAATGTGCATATTTTCACAATATTCTTGGCATTATTTTCTGAGACATAATGTTTCATGCAAATGCTTCTATTGCCATTTTCCCTGGTTGGTTAGGTTTATTATTTTAGTTGAATGAGAAAAATAAATAAAGGTTTTGATTGTGCTATTTTATTAACCTAGAAAATTATTTTCTTTCAAAGTTTGATATTTAAAAATATATAAAATAATAAGATAAATACGATTCATTAAGTCCATCTGGACATTAAAGATTGCATAGATTGCATACATTGAAGCATATATTAACATACTGATTCATCTTCAGTCAAATTTGGAAAATCCACCATGTAATTTACTTACTCAAAATTCAAATCATGAGATCAGTCCATTCTAAAGCGAGACAGACTTGTGTCTGTACCAACTCTCTGTGCTCATAATGAAGGACATATGCTAGTTTGGGAAGAAATCTCACTAGCCTCATTGTGTTAGTGTCCAACATTAATGAAGACTTCTTTGTCACTGTGCTACCAAGAGTCTGACACACTGTCCTCTTTGGGAAAGAACATGACACACTATCTATTTACTCTGAACTCAAAAAGTTAATATGGAAACGTAAAGATTGAAAGAGAAACTGTAACATACTAAGGAGGTCTTCCAGTGGTTTTCACATTATATTGCATCCCTCTGGGACTATAACTTTGTATGTAAAAATGAACATGGAAATGAATAAAGATTGAAAAAAAAAAGTTATCTGACTTTCTCAACCTTGCTTTCCAAGGTTATGTACTGTCTTTCAGAAGACTGAATCCTAACAAGTTGAAAAGACATTGACTTACCTGAATTTAAGAGGAATACCTTATTTCTTTATTGAAGACAAGTGAAACAATGCAAACTATAACACTTGAGGATAAAATAACAAAAATTGTCTAAAGCAGTTCTTAATCTGGGGTAGTCAATAAACTTAGTGGCGTTCCTGAACCCGCTGAAATCATATGCATATTTCTGCATGAGTGTATGTGTTTTCTGGAGATGGTCCCTCACATTCATTGATTCTGAAACTGATTTGATTACGATTTGCTGGCCTAAAAGAAGAGTGCTTGGATGCTTCTGAGCACCTTAGAGGACCTGATTATTATAATTTTGAACTGATTTGCCTTAAAGTTCTTGGAAGCAAGACATGTTGGGAGTAATGTATTAGGTCACATGTATTTTTTTGGCAAAGAAAACATATTTTTAAATTTGGAAAAATTCTTCCTTGAAACTTGTCATCTGCAGCAGAGCAATAGATAAGGGGTGCTGTTGAATTTTTAGAATGGATGTTAATACCTTAAAATATAATTTTGCAAAAGATATATAGGTGCTATTCAAATAAGTGGCCCTGGTATTCATCCTGTATAAAATTTATTTAAGTTAAATATTAAATGTAACTTAGTGATAGTTTTTATAAGGAAAAATAAATTACAGAAGGCAAATGTTAATCTCTAAGACGTAAACCTTGATTATTTTCCCATAGAATGAAGACTGCTAAGCTATAAAAAAAATGTGTGTACATATTTGTGAAAGGAGCCTTGTGATGCAGTGGTTAAAGCACCCGGCTACTAACTGAAAGGTCAGCAATTCAATCCCACAAGCCCCTCCTCTTCTGTAAAGATTTACAGCCTTGAAAACCCTAGTAGGCAGTTCTACTCTGACCTACAGGGTTGTTATGAGTCGGAATCAACTCGACAGCAATGGGGTACATATTTTTCAAATATTAAGCCCAAATAATTTTATTTTTAGAATCACTCATTAATTAGGGGATACTCATTCATTCAGGAAATGTTATAGACTACAATTTTAGCAATGCAATAAACAAGGTCCTTACCTGTCTGGAAGGACAGACAATGAAGGTTCAAAAACAAGAAGATGTAAGGTAGTTATAAATTCCAAGAAATTCCAATAGAATGATATAAAAGGGTGTGACTAGGAGTGATCACTGGAGGCTGCTCAGAGGAGGTGATATTTAAGTAAAGGTTGAACGACAAGAAGCCATCAAGGGAAGATCTGGGAGAAGAGTCTTCCAGGTAGAGGGAACAACAGCTTGTGCTAAACTCCCAGAGTGGAATCATCTAGGCCTGTTCAGGGACTAGAAACATGGCCAGGGCAAGAATACAGTGAAGGGGAGAGTGGCGTGACATAAGGTCAGACAAGGGAAAGTCAAATAAGACTAAGCCAAGGACAGAGTAAGAACACGAGTTTATCACAATTCCATGGTGGGCTATTATTCTGCAAGCAGCACCCAAGCTCACGCCCGAGCTCTCTCACCGCTGATTTTGTAGTTGAACTTGTAAGCCACACGCCTTTGGAAACAACATCAAATCATTCTAATGGTCATTATAATTTTGTATAAGCTGCAGACCTATATTAGACATGAGAGAACTTAATTCAGCATTTTAATGCTAAGTTACAGTTGATCATTTTGAGGAGCAAAAGGAAAGATGGCAAGATAATTGGGACTGCTTTAAGCATAGCACAAACTAGTTACAATAATTACAAATAGAATTTGAAATAAAGACATAAGTGTGTAAATTGAAAGGGTAGACAGACTGAGAGAAAGGAGACTCACACCTAGACACTGTAATTAAAAAGGTAGACGGAGTGGAGAAAAATTCTGCAATATACACAGAATAATAATTTAAAAAAAGGTTATAAAAAATTAAAAAAATTAGCTTTTAGAGCTCTCTAATGCATATCCTAGAGACAATGGATTAAAGAATACAGTATTTGCCAGGGAAAAGATTGTGATAAAATAGTTTTATACTTAGTTATGTTTTCATTGCTAAGGAAAAACAGCAAAAACAAAAACAAAATTTTTCTAAGGTAGGCAAGGCTCAGAGAAAAATAGTATGTATGTACTCTTCCTGAAAATAATGCTTGTCTTTATTCCCCAAGTGAAGGATGAATCAAATATAAGAGATTAAAAATAAATAGGCATAATATAAATTTGTCTACCATATATGCTTTGAAATTGTGTTAAATCTTAGAATCATTGACTATTTTATTATATTGTACTGTATGTAAACAGAAACAAAAGGTTCACAAAACAATACTTACCCTTAGTTTTTGCATGCAATGCACTCCAATACTTTCTTTTTTGTTCTATTTCTTTTCGCAAAACATTAAATTGACTTTGCAGCCCACAATTTGAAAAAAAAAATCATAGGTTTATTTCATTCCAACATATTATACAAATAGAAAAATTAATTAAATGGGAATATATACTTTAAAACAATAATTTAATGGCATTCTAAACTCTTATTAAAAACAAGGACATCAGAGATGATCAAAGAAAGAAAAAAATGCATTTGTTGTACTTTACTTTTTTAAAGTGGCCATGACTCATGTTGGAGTGGGGGCGTAATGGGGCTATTGTACATGTCTATGGGCTTTGTGTTTTGTTTTTTGGTTTGTATCCTTCAGTTTATCATCATCTGAAACCCCTTCTATCTCCAACCCCTAGTTACAACCAATGAGGTCCAGAAGACAGTTCCTTCTTCGAAGCTTTGATAAATACAACGGAGAGTAGCATGCCAACACATATGAAGACTCCTTCCTTGGCTGTCTCCATGTACGATAGAAGCGGTGGAAAACACTGAAGTTTAAATGAGATTCTTAATTTCAGCAGAGATGGGTGGTAGCAGAGGTCAAATAGTGGCATTTAATCACTGAAGGAAAAGCCTATGTGGTGACTATAATAAAAAGAAAGACTAGAAAGGTAATCAGAATAGCCTGACCCAGTTTTGAAAGATCAACTATTATGAGATCTCTAGAAAGGAAATAGAAGGGCAGCCTCTTGAGGTCATAGTTGATTTGAATAACCTTAAAAGAAAAATCCTCCTTTCTGGAAAGCAGAGTTTTGAAATACCACAGTAAAGTCACACCCTTCATCCAATTCCAGTTCACAGACTCAGAGCCCCTTCATTGCAGGGTACCCCTAAGGAAGACCCCAAAAGTAACATTTTAAGTGCATACTGGAAATACTATCCCCAGTTTTCCCCAAAGGGAACTAAAGCCATTTGCCAGAGTACTGTGCATCAAAAAAAGAGAAATACCCAGACCTACCTGTTTTATCAGACAATGGCTTGGAGTAAATACTGTTTCCTGGGGTTACAGAATGTCACTAGAATGCCCTGGTCAAAGACTTAAGAGGCAGGTGATGAACAGAATTTTTCCCTGAATCTATTGTTGACCCACTGAGACCCTGTAAACCAGTTAAAAAACCAGTTGACATCAAGTCAATACCAACTCATGGTGACCCTATGTGTGTCAGAGTAGAACTGCACTCCATAGGGTTTCCAGTGGCTGATTTTTTGGAGGTAGATCAGGCCTTTCTTCTGAGCTGCCTCTGGGTGGACTTGACCTCCAACCTTTGGGTTAACAGCCAAGTGTGTTAATCATTTCACCACCTATGGACTCCATTGAGACCATACACCCACCTGTAATTATTCCTCCGGCTCCTAAAAACACAATTGAATTGTATACCTTTAGCAATGGAAGAAACTCTATATTGGTTCCCTATCCCATAAGGTAATGGCTATTAACACAGTATAGGAAAGACGCCGGCACATCTCCTCCATACCAAAATAGTCAATAAAAAGCAATGCCTCATCCCTGGAGGGAAGGCAGAAATAAGGGACACTATCAAAGTCATATGCGTTATTAGGTTCTGAGTGCAATTGTAGCTGCTAATCCAGATACAGGTTACTTACTGTCCTAGTTATCTAGTGCTGCTAAAATAGAAATACCACAAGTGGATGGCTTTAACAAAGAGAAATTTATTTTCTCACAGTCTAGTAGGCTAGAAGTCCAAATTCAGGGAGTCAGCTCCAGGGGAAGCCTTTCTTTCTCTGTCGGCTCTTGAGGAAGGTCCTTGTCATCAATCTTCCCCTGGACTAGGAGCTTCTATACAAAGGAACCCTGGGTCCAAAGGACGTGCTCTGCTCCCGGTGCTGCTTTCTTGGTGGTATGAGGTCCCCCTGTCTCTTTGCTCACTTCTTTCTTTTATATCTCAAAAGAGATTGGCTCTGAACACAATCCAATCTTAGTACAGCTCCTACCACCTGACGTGCATATAATAATTTGGTAATTTATTAATTTATCCTAATTAGAAAAAAAAAATTCCCTCCCTCCCACTTGGCAGGAA